AAATGGTCCTATCATACGTGCTTTTAGGGCCAAATGGAGCCCTATTCACTATGTAGTGCATTTCGTTTGATCCTAATTGGCCCTGGTCAAAAGTAGTGCACTATATAGTGAATAGGGTGCCAATTGGGACAGAGCCTGAGTCTCCTAACCGAGCCACCTAACCCTAATCTGTTTGGATCTAAATGTTCCTCTTATCAAGAGCCTCATACTTCAGGGGTTGGTTCTTCTATCCCAGTGGGGACTTCAAAACCCCAAAAGTCCCCACAAAGACAGTAAAACAAGGACAATTCTCCCTAGTGGTGACATTTCCCACGTCCCCATAAGGACAAAGGCTATTTTAAACTTAGGGTTAGGGTTACAATTATGGTTAGAGTAACGGTAAGTGGTTAGGGTTAGGGTTAGGAGTTAGGTTTAGGGTTACAGGTTAAGGTCAAATCAAAATCAAATCAAATGTTATTGGTCACATGAACATGTTTAGCAGATGTTATTGCGGGTGTATCGAAATGCTTGTGTTCCTAGCTCCAACAGTGCAGTAATATCTAACAAGACACATAAAACACACAATCTAAAAGTAGAAGAATGGAATTAAGAAATATATAAATATATTCGGACGAGCAATGTCAGAGAGGCATTGACTAGAATACAGTAGACTAGAATACAGTATATACAGTATATACATATGAGATGAGTAAAGCATTATGTAAACATTATTAAAGTGACTAGTGTTCCATTATTAAAGTGGCCAGTGATTCTAAGTCTATGTATATGGGGCAGAAGCCTCTAAGGTGCAGGGTTACGTAACCTGGTGGTAGCCGGCTAGTGATGGCTATTTAACAGGCTGATGGCCTTGAGATGTAACCCGGTGGTAGCCGGCTAGTGATGGCTATTTAACAGGCTGATGGCCTTGAGATGTAACCCGGTGGTAGCCGCCTAGTGATGGCTATTTAACAGGCTGATGGCCTTGAGATGTAACCCGGTGGTAGCCGCCTAGTGATGGCTATTTAACAGGCTGATGGCCTTGAGATGTAACCCGGTGGTAGCCGCCTAGTGATGGCTATTTAACAGGCTGATGGCCTTGAGATGTAACCCGGTGGTAGCCACCTAGTGATGGCTATTTAACAGGCTGATGGCCTTGAGATGTAACCCGGTGGTAGCCGCCTAGTGATGGCTATTTAACAGGCTGATGGCCTTGAGATGTAACCCGGTGGTAGCCGCCTAGTGATGGCTATTTAACAGGCTGATGGCCTTGAGATGTAACCCGGTGGAAGCCTCCTAGTGATGGCTATTTAACAGGCTGATGGCCTTGAGATGTAACCCGGTGGTAGCCGCCTAGTGATGGCTATTTAACAGGCTGATGGCCTTGAGATGTAACCCGGTGGTAGCCACCTAGTGATGGCTATTTAACAGGCTGATGGCCTTGAGATGTAACCCGGTGGTAGCCGCCTAGTGATAGCTATTTAACAGGCTGATGGCCTTGAGATGTAACCCGGTGGTAGCCGCCTAGTGATGGCTATTTAACAGGCTGATGGCCTTGAGATGTAACCCGGTGGTAGCCGCCTAGTGATGGCTATTTAACAGGCTGATGGCCTTGAGATGTAACCCGGTGGTAGCCTCCTAGTGATGGCTATTTAACAGGCTGATGGCCTTGAGATGTAACCCGGTGGTAGCCGCCTAGTGATGGCTATTTAACAGGCTGATGGCCTTGAGATGTAACCCGGTGGTAGCCGCCTAGTGATGGCTATTTAACAGGCTGATGGCCTTGAGATGTAACCCGGTGGTAGCCGCCTAGTGATGGCTATTTAACAGGCTGATGGCCTTGAGATGTAACCCGGTGGTAGCCGCCTAGTGATGGCTATTTAACAGGCTGATGGCCTTGAGATGTAACCCGGTGGTAGCCGCCTAGTGATGGCTATTTAAC